TGTTTCATTATGAGTTTCCAGGCGTCTTCTGGACGGCCAAAAGAACCGCACCCAGCCACCCCGCCGAATGTGATCCTCGTGTCAAGGATAATTTTGTCATCAAAATCTTTGATCATAAGGTAAGGCCACTGGTCCTTTGCTGTTGGGATTTGCCTATACGCTTTTTCCCAGTCAAAAATTGCTAGGAGAGCCGTGCCTTTGAGCTTCCGGAAGAATGTCGCTACCAAGTTGAAATCATCCCAGGTTGTTTTGAAATTGTCTGCCTCGACGAAAGAATTTACTGACGGGATTCCGTCTTTCCCGTGTGGGTGCGACAGGTCGTTGATGGGCCTCAGCAATCCGTCCCCATTTATCACCGCGCCCAGAGGGTTCGTTCGAAAGAACGGAAATTTCTTGGTGACTTGGTCCTTCTCAAAAGGGCCGTACATGCGTCCTGCCTCGATCTCTGTCCTCAGGGACTTTTCTATTTTCTCCCTGGCTTGCAGGGCGGATGCGTGGTTCGGTGGTGTGTAGAAGGGTAGATCGCCGACAGTGTGCTGTGGTATTCCTTGATCAAATCCTTCTTGGAATCCTTTTATGACGTCATCAAATTGTGGAAGCAACTTTGCGTTCATTAGTGCTTTTTTCCATTCTGGGATGTTCATCTCACATGTGACTCTTGACGGCCAGAACTCTCTGTTCTCTGGCTGGATCGTTGTTTGTCGGGATGTTGGGCCCTCCTCCGCATCAGTCTCAGGTGTCTCGGTGGAGTTTTCTTGTATCTCAACGCTACTATGGTTCAACAGATTGTTTCTATTGCGAGGTTGGGTTGCATAGGGAGAAAGGAATATTCAGGAGAGGAAGGAGGAAACAACCGGTAATAAGTGACTAGTTACAATCTGATAGCAAGGTTAACGAGAAGTATGATTGCTACTGGGGAATGGAGGAGTACGGGTTGGGTTGGGTGGAAGCAATGGGGTAAGAGAACTGGTCGCGAGGTGGTTTTGAGGAAATAGGTAGCACTTACGATTGGCTGCTTAACACCATTTGGCCGTTGTTTTGGCTTGTTGCGGGGCCTGTCCCGCGGCGTTGGTCTTGGTAGTTGGGGATGAAGTTCTTCCCTTTATAGCCACCGTTCCTCGGGGCCTTTTGCTCGTGCTGTCTAGCGTTTGGGCCTCCCTGATTACCTGGCGGGTTTTGGTAGTAGGGCGGTTGTTGGTAGTGTGGATGGCCGTACTGGGGTTGTTGGGGTTGGAAATGTTGTGGGTGTTGGAAGTTGTGGCCGTATTGGCTCTGCTGGTTGTGGTACGGCGTGTTCTGGGTATGATAGTTCTTCACAAACGGTTGTTTGCCTTGTTTCGGCAGGCCGGTGAGCGGGTCTAAGTGGGCTCTCGGCCCCCCAGGTGCGTAGGGATTGGTATCTCTGAAGCCAAGTTCATCGAAGTTACGGGCTTCGGCGTAAACTGATTCGGCGATGTCGATTCGCAGGACCGAGATGTCGGGCACTGATGGGTCTCCGTTTATCACGACTCTGTGGGCGAATGCGTTGGTTCTCAATTGGATGTCGTATCGCAATGCCGTCATGAAGCCATCCTTCGCTTGCATCCGGTCGCAGTTTGCTTTGTGTTCGAGCAGCCATCCGGCAAAAGTGGGGAATCTGTAGATGTCTCGGAGGGCTAGGTGGAAAGCCCGGTGGTTGATCGTCCAGTCACTGAACGACTGTTCCCACTCACTCTGAAATTTGAGTCCTGAGTAGCGGTCTTTGGTTTCAGAAGACTCTTCTGACTTCGTTCTCTTGTCCGCGTGGAAGAGGATGGCAGCGTCTTGCCACTTCTTGTTGAATATGGTCAGCGGCAGTGGACCTTTCAACTCCTTCATGTTCTTGTCGAAAAACGTGGGGAGGCCCATGTCTTGGAAGGTATTCACCCCTTTCCCGTAGAAGGACAGTCCACCTTCTTTTATCTGTGGTTCGGACGAGGAGATGCCAACCATCGCGAGGGACTTTTGGGGGATCAATGCCTCGGAGTAGGTTACCGCGACTTTCGCCTTGGGTTTGGACTTTGCTTTCAAATCTGCGAGTATGTCGAAGAACATCTCCGCCCTCGTATTGTCACCTTTCCTTTGGGCGGTCATCGCTTTCTTGAGGATCGCTGCCTGTTCTTCCTCTTCGGAAGGGTCTTCAATCTCCTCTATGGATCTTTTTTGGCCTGTCACCTTTTCTGGGGTTGGTTTGGATTTGTGTAATGGGGAGTGAGATCAATGTCAGTTCGGGTCCCTTACTCCCTCCTCATTTCCCCCCTTTTTTTTTTTTTTTTTACTTACTTTGGCCTGGTGCAGCTCGCAACAGCCCCAATATTTCGGTTTGATTGCCGTTGCTCTCTTCTTCGGCTGGTTCATCTCCAGATGGATCCGACGAGGTTTGTTGGCGCTCCGCTATGGATGAAAGCCTGGACTTCTTCGAGGTAGCTATGGTGCGACCTGGAACTTGGGTCTCGATCCTCTTCTGAGTCTGGCCCTCCTCTGTTGTGAGCAAGGAGGTGACTTCTGCGTCCTCTGTTTGAGTGGCCTGTTGGTCTGACGGGATTGGTAGGTCTCCGGTTGACATATTAACTTGGATCTGTCACATGTATTGTGAGTTTAGTATCAGCTCTTCTAGCTCTACCACGAGATCGATATATGAATGTCTGCTTACACTGGATGAGGTTTATTGGATGGGATTTCTAGGGGGCCACTTGTTTCGGTTTCTAAATGTTGTTTGACTGTTTGAACTGTCTTGTCAGCCTATTGTCGTTACTTTAGGCGTTTCCCCTTCTTTTTTTTTTTTTTTTTGCGTACCTTTTGGGATTTGATCCTTTTGGGTGATTCTCGGTTAGGAGTCGGTTTTGTTCTCGAGTTCGAGTTTGTTTGTTTGTTTGGGTTTTGTTTGTTTTGGGTTCTGTTTGTTTGTGTGGATAGATGTGGATAGATGGGGTTCTGTTTGTTTTTGTGGATGTGGATAGATAATGGTGTATGTGGGGTTTTTGGAGGATGCGAAAAAGGAGACGGGATTCTCCCTGAAGAGCGGAGCTGAGACTAGGATGGAGGCTGTGCGGATCTAGACGGTGAAATCGCTAGGGAGAAACTGGCCAGGGGCAAGAGTGTCCTAGCTAGATTCACCCGGCTCCGGCCAGGACTGGGATGAGACTGCGTCTCTGCTGCGCAGCTAGGTATCGTCCGGCGGCCAAACCTAAACCTGTCCGGGCGGAGAAGTCCGCCCGTCCTGGCCGTCGCGGCATAGCCTACTGCCGCTCCATGGACGCCGGTGAACTCGGGGCTATGCCCTGCCGTACACCTACCATACTGACAACAGTACACCACAGGTCGCGAGCGACGTTGAGCCCGCATCCACTAAGACCATCTCCACCGCGGCTGCTAAACCGCGCTGCTAAACCAATTATAGCAGTGCAAACTCGATTTAGCAGCTCCACCGGGGCTGCTAAACACTCAAAAATTTTAGCAACCCGCCTCTCGGCTGCTATCCCGATACCAAATTTGGCATCAGGATAGCAGCTCAACCTCGCGAGTATCACAAAGAATCCTTGTGATTCTCGCATCCACCCCCTCGCCCATATCCCCCGACACAGCAAGACACCCAACCCCCAGACTTGAGTACACTCTCAAAGACCGGTACCGGTCACTAGAAAATGACACGTACATCACATTCTCAGAGACCGGAGGAACGGTATCGGTCACTAGAGAGTGTACACTCTCAAAGACTGATACCGGTCAAAAGCAACGGTGTCCTCTTAAGTATAGGTATCAGTCACATGAGAGTCTATACTCTTGAAGACCGATACCGGTTACCGGTCACTAGAGAAGTGACCGGTACCAGTTGCACCAGTTGGTACATCTCCAGGAATGGTACCAGTCAATACTAAACCTTCTCCATGGTTGGTACCGGTCACTAGAGAAAGAGGACCAATACCGGCCAACATTGAGTGCTGTCTTTGCTGCCCCGGGGGGGGGGGGACCTTTCACATTCCCCAGTTGCTATTATAGCAACTTGCGGTGTAATACCAAGTGAACGCAAGCTGCTAAAAACGTGCCGCAGTTGCCAAACTTCGAGATTTGGCAGCTCGGATAGCAACTTGCGGTGGAGATGGTCTAAGCCTTCTGGGACTCAGGAGGAGCAGAGCGGAGGGCCGAGTACTTTACTCGGCCCTCCTTTACTTTCCGCGCTTGGAGAGCGGGAGGGGGGGAGAAAAATCCTTGTGGCGCCATAGCGATGACGCCACTTGTGTACCCCTGTACTGGTTCGGTATCATCTTGATACCTAGGGACTCCTGGAACCAGGTCAGTTATGATCTGGTTCCCGAGACTCCCGAGTGTGGGTTGGGGGGATGAGAGTGCTCAGGTTGAGGCTGGTAGCACACGAACCAGCGAGGCGCATCACACAGACTCCGAACGAGAGCATCTGTCCGGCCTCCGAAGAGCCCGGGACGGTATTGCCGTTCGGAGAGCGCTTGAGAGCGCCCCAGCTCACCCCGGAGCAGGAGGACACACCGGTTGAGTGGAGCCGAAGCTCGACCCATCTCTCCGGGCGGCCTGCCTGGAGCCTAGCTCGGCTGTACTCCTATTACTCCCTACACTCGTATTAATGCTTAGACATGGGGTGTTTTAAATTACTCGCTCCATGCCAACTCTAAGTTTTTTAATAGCTCTAAGGTGGCGACAACTTCTCTCTCGGGGTAAACCCGGAGATACAACTTATAGCAATTAGAAGTCCATCTCCCTAGCATACAAATCTCCTCAACAGGCACGCCTACTGCGTGCCTTAGGGAAGCTCCTCCTACGCGGAACGAGTGGCCTGTTAAGTCGGGATAGCCTAGTCGATTCCACGATGAGGACAAGACTCTTCTTACTGCTGATTTAGTGAGGTGCGTCCTTCCTTGAGAGCTCTTCCGGTACCCAAAGAGTGAGGTGTCCTCGCTTCTTGCTTTGTCTATCCTCCTCTTCACAGCCATGACAGGACATAGCATATGGTTTAAGCTGTGGAGGAAGATAACTTGTGCACTCCCCGGAGCGCACGTCTTTGCCCCTCTGACGGTTAGCTCCACGACCGTCCCCGTCGGCGATTCCGTAAACTTGGCGTCAGAAGTGAGCAAAGAGGCAGTTCTTTGGAGTGGACCCTTGGCGTAGTCGTAAGTGACCTCGGCCAGTCTCGCCATTCCCCAAAACGCCACAATGGCCAAGTCTATATTGCTCTGCCTTGATCGTCTCCTGATACTAAGTAGAGATGGTCGATTGTCATCCGGATATCCGCGCGGATGCGGATATCCGGCTGCTTTTTCCGGCCATCTGAGCATCCGCACCCGCTGGCGGGTATCCGTCGGCCGCAGCGGGTATCCGAGCGGGTATCCTCGGATACCCGCCCTCTAAAGGGCCGGCTGGAAGGGCTTCCTTCCAGCCGTCGGGGTACAAGTACCTCATCGACTGGAAGGACACCCTTCCGGTTGACAAGGTACAAGTACCTCGCCGGCTGGAAGGACACCCTTCCAGTCGACAAGTACCTCAATGGCTGGAAGGGTCTCCTTCCAGCCGGCGAGGTACTTGTACCTTGTCGACTGGAAGGGTGTCAGGGTCTCCTTCCAGCCGGCCATCTCCCCTTCCGGCCGCAGGTATCCTTTGGGATACCCGGATACCCGCCAACTTTTTGCGGAAAAGGGGCCATCCGCACCCGTTGGCGGGTATCCGCCAGCGGATAACGGGTATCTGCGACGGATTCCCTTCGACCATCTCTAATACTAAGTGATTGGTTAAGGCGACTAGCTGGGTTATGGTTACTGGGGCCTTGACTGGTCTCGGAGGTGCTTCGGCGTCGGTGTCGGCGGAGGCGCGGAGGAGGACCGCAACCTTCGCCTTGGATTCCTTCGGATATTCAACTGAGTGATAAAGGTGCCAAGCTTGGAGGCCGTATAGGTATTTTGCTAGGGTCTTGGAACAGATGTCTTGCGTGTCATATTCGTCTGTGTTCTTACCTGCCCAGTAGCAGAATCCGTAGAGGTCTCCTGCCGAGATTGGGAGAACAAAGGGCGTCTCTTTGACTGCGATCTTGTATCTCATGAACTTCCTAGCCGCCGCGTTAAAGCTAAGTAGTCTGTTCCATTTGTAGCCTCTTAGGAAGTGGATGTCCAACGAAGTAGGCTCCCTTAGTTGGTTACCATTTGCTAAAAAGGTCTTTATCTTGCTGATATCTAAAATGATATGTCTCTTGATCCTGGGAGGAAAGGGAGGGGGAGGTAGTCTCTCGGAAAGAGAAAAAGTTTTAGTTTGGTTAAATGGTAGATTGGATTGCAAGGGGGAAAGGAGAGTAGCCGATAGAAGGAGGTATAGATTGGGCAGGGTAGATAGCTATGTACATGATTCCTCCGTAACAAGTTTGGTCCCCTTCTTATCCCCCATCTGTTTCAGTCCAAGCCACTAGCTTGAAACATCAGTAATTCTAGGTCTTCTGGGAGGTCGATTACTACTTGATTCTTCAGATGATGGTTTGATCTATTGCCTCTCGATAGGGCATTGGCTCGATTTTCCTTTGAGGTAACTCTTCTTGCAGAGAGGTCAATTTGCATCTCGAGGAGGATGTTTTGAATCAACTTCCACTCTTTGTTGACGTGGACATCCCTCGACTTCCTATTTTTTACTGCCTCCTCTGAAGTGGTATTATCAATCCAGACAATAATCATTTTGCCTTTCCGTATGTCTAGTTTCTTCATCATTAGAAGTCCAATCCGTATTGCTGCTGTTTCCATCCAGGCTATGCCACGTCGGGGTAAACTACCTCTGTTCCAGCCGGGTCTTGCTTTAAATTGGGCCCAGCGTCTCCCGATCAGCACTTCTATACCGAGGCTAGTTGACGCGTCTCCCACCCACCCAATTTCGGTAGGGTCTGGGTTTGCGATGAGTCTTGTCTGATTGAACGTTAGTAAGGACTTTTGCTAGTAGTTCATGTCTTGCCTGACATCTAGTGGTATTGGTCGTGGGACATGTTGGTAGACCCAGTCGCTCATCATCCTGTAAAGGCTGCACAGGTAGCATCGGAGCTGCGGGAGCATGTATGACATGTGGTTCAGGCGGCCTGCCATGATTTTGATTTGTTTAAACGTGAATTCTTTCCCTTCCTCCAGGATTTCATTTATTTGTCTAATTTGTGCTTGCGTTTTTTCCTCGGGTAAGCGCACTGTCTTCTCTGATGTGTTCCAGATAAACCCAATATATTTTTGTTCTACTTTAAAAGGGGAGATCTTTGTTGGGTTTGTCTTGACCCCTAATTCATTAGATCTAGCAACAATGTCGTCCATCTCTACTGCTGACGTTAACTCCTTGACAAACAAATTATTGTCGACCCATCTGAATACTGTGACGAGGTCAAATTCTTTTAGCATGATTTGTTTCCACGCGTCTGCCGGCCTGCCAAAGGATCCACATCCTGCTACGCCGCCGAAGGCAATTCTGGTATCAACGATTATCTGGTTGTTGAAATTTTGAAGCATGAGATATGGCCATTGGTTTGGTGCCTTCGGGATTTGTTGGTAAGCCTTCTCCCAGTCGAAGATGGCGAGGAGCGCGGTTTTGGTTCTCTTTCTTAAAAAATTTTCTACTGCTTTGAAATTGTCCCACGTTGTGTCGAAATCGTTCTTTGAGTTTACTGATGGAATATCCTTCTTCCGGTGCGGGAATGACAGGTCGTTGATCACTCTTAATGAGCCATCTCCGTTTACCACAGCTCCTAGTGGATTTGTTCTGAAGAATCCAAACTTTCTATGGACTTGGTCCGCGGTATACGGGCCGAACATTCTTCCGGCTGCAATTTCTTTTTGAATCAATTCTTCTATCTTCGGCTGAGCTTGTGATGCCGAACTATGGTTAGGAGGTGCGTAGAAGGGTATGTCTGGTCCCAGATCGTGTTCCGATATGCCTTGATGGAATCCGTATACGAATCCGTTGAGTACGTCTGCGGAGGTTTTCGACAAACCTGCTTTCTCAAGCGCTTCTTTCCATCTTGGGATATTCATGTCGCACTGTACTTCTCTGGGCCAGACAATGCCTGACTCATTATCTAATATGTCTGTCTCTTCTGAGCTCTCCTCTCTCATGTGTGGGTCTACACTCACTCGGTTTCTCCTACGGATAGGAAGTGGCACAGTTGGTCAGGACTCATTCCTTTTTTTGTTTGGATTCGCTGGGATCATGGTTTTTATCAATGGGTATATTGCTTCTTTACTTATCAACTGTAACTACAACGTTTGTGATTGATGTGTGGGTTCAAGACAAATGTCGGAAAGGGAGCAAGCGGACTGTGATGCAAGAAGAAATTGAGGGAGGGGCAAGGGTAAAAAGGGAACTGTACTATTGGGTAGAAGTTATAAATGGTTGCAGGCTTTTACCTACTTTCTGCTGCCTTCTCCATTTTGGTATCTGCTGCCGCTCTGCCCTTGGCTCCCTGAGTGGTTTGGGTCAAAGTTTCTGCCTTGATACCCAGAACCTCTTCTGCTTTCGCACGGCTTGGCTGGGAGGGAGTTTGAGTTCTGAGAACCTGACTGGGTTGGGTTGGCGGAGCTTCTCGGTTGGTGGTTGTTGGTTGACTAGGTCGGCTTTTTGGTACCCGTGTGCGGTCCCAGGACGCTCGGACGCCCCCGATGGCGTAAGGGTTGACCTCTTTGAAGATGAGTTCTTTGTATCTTCTTGCCTCGGCATAGGCGGTGTCATACACTTCCTGGCGGAAAATTGAGATGTCCAAGAAGGACTTGACTCCATTCTTCACGACTCGGTGTGCGAAGGTGTTCGCCCTGATTCTGATGTCGTACCTTAGGGCGACCATAAAACCGTCTTTCCTCAGAATCTTGTCGGTGTTTTCTTTGTGGAGGATTATCCACTCGCCAAGAGTCTCGTATTTGTAGACATCTCGCATTGTAGTCTAAACAAGCGAAAGAGGAGACTATTTTAGCGCTTTGTTTTACTCCTCTCTCTTTTTTTTTTTACTTACAGTAAATTTGGCGTAGTTTAAGCTCCAGTCACTGTAGCTCATGCACCACTCGCTTGGTGTTGGAGTAGTGCTTTCTCCTTGTTTGTTTTCTTTCTTTCTCCTTTCTGTGCTTCACATCTTTCACTGTTCTTTTCACATACATGTCACATTATTTAGAGTATACCTGGGTCAGAGCACGTGGAAGGATTCGGGGAATGATAACCACACTCCAACCCCCTTTGCACACACACTCCAACACTCCCTTCTCTGAAGGGAGTGTGGGACCGCACTCCAATCGAAATTGGAGTGCGGGTCCACACTCCAACAATCTGCAGGGGCAGTCCCCCAGCAGGTTGGAGTGCAGACCTGCACTCCAATTTTGATTGGAGTGTGGGCCCACACTCCCCTCAGAAGGGGAGTGTGGGAGTTTGGACGTGTACTTTTATATACATACTGGGCTATCCCATAGGACCCAGGCCTGGGTCCTATGGGATAGCGCCGTTGAAAAAAAAAAATATCTTTAGGGCTGGGAGAAACCCCTCCCAGCCCGCGAATGGACATGGAGTCTTGAGGCCGGGAGGGTTCCTCCCGGCGAGCCGGTTTTTAAACCAGCTCGTCGGAAGGGATTCCTTCCGACGAACTGGGCTGTGTACCACCTCGTCGGGAGGGGTTCCTCCCGGCAAGCCAGCTTTTAAACCAGCTCGTCGGAAGGAATCCCTTCCGACGAGCTGGTCTGTGTACCACCTCGTCGGGAGGGGTTCCTCCCGGCGAGCTGGGCTTTAAACCAGCTCGTTGGAAGGAATCCCTTCCGACGAGCTGGTCTGTGTACCACCTCGTCGGGAGGGGTTCCTCCCGGCGAGCTGAGCTTTAAACCAGCTCGTCGGAAGGAATCCCTTCCGACGAGCTGGTCTGTGTACCACCTCGCCGGGAGGGGTTCCACCTTCGATGTTGGATCGTATTCGCATCGAATGTCGTCTTGGATCCCTCATCGTGACCTTGACTTTTCGCCTCGCCTTGAATCTTTCTCGTCTCACCCCACGAGAAATCATCAACTGAATATTACACATCCCATCCAAAAAAAAAAAAAGTTAGTACGATATATTACGAGTGCGAGAAGAGAGGAGAAGAGAGAACTGACAATGCCAGAAAGCATAGAGAGGCAGGACGAAGTTCCAGACAGGAAGAGCAATCAGATAGATGAGCATCCAAAACACATAAGAGACCTTTCTCGAGGTAGCCAGGATGAGGATAGCGGGCAAGCCGAGGATCGCGGCGAGGAGGATGAGCGGGATAGCGTCGGAGAAGTTTTTAGGCGGATGGAGGATGGAGTTGATGATGAGCGAGTAAGTGAGGGTGATGGCGATGGGCAAGACGATGGTGCCCATAAGCTCCATAAAGACGACGAATTGCATCGAGAAACAGAAGGTTCCACAGAGATTAGGTACTCTGACTAGTTCCATCAAGTTATGGATGGTCGAGTTAATCCAGCGTCTGCGTTGGGAGACCAGGACGGCGAATTCGTCTGGGACAAGAGTGCGACATTTAGCCTGAGGACAGAACATCATCTTTCGGGCGGGGAAGATCATGAGGGTAGTCAGGAAGCGGTCCTCTCCTAGGAGGAGCAAGTTTTTCTGATGAAGAGTGGTGACGATAGACTGGGAGTATTCGCGACAGATCTCGGGCTGGGCAAGGATGGGCACCCAATCCCCGTCGTTCATCCGTTGCGCCTTGAGCCGATACATCGAGAAACAGCCCGGCAAACAGGTCACCCCGCCAAAAACCGACTCGAACGCCTTCGCGAGATGGTGCGAGATGTAGTACTCAAACACTTGGATCGCCGTCACCCAGGATTGTCGCTTGTTCGTGATCCGCGTCTCCCCGCATACTCCCATGATCAATGGGTCATGTTGCATGCAATTCACTAGATGGCCTATCGAATCTTTCATCACCGTCGTATCCGCATCCACCATCAAACAAACCTCGAAAAAATCCGGCGTCACTCCCATCAGAACTTGGATCTTCCTAAACAAATCGTAGTCTAACGGCGACATTCGGTCGTTATAGGTCACCCTCGAGAAAAAATTCATCAGGATCATCTGCGAATCTCGTTTTCCTCGGTTGCCTGGCTTCTTCTCTATCTTTCCTTCTTCTGCTGTTCCACATTTAACAATCACTATCATTGGTGTCCGTCTACCTTCAACTTGAGCTGTATATTCATTTATAAGTGTTAATACTTATATTGACAAATATGAAAGTTTCCAAAAAAAAAAAAAAGACTGACTATAATGACCGGCATAGATCATGGCTTGATTATGTTCCTTAGCGCCGGCAGCGACGGCCCTGTAACTCATGGGCATGGGATCACCAAAGAGAGGGTCGGCGTCCAAGAAGCCGACACAGACGTCAGGCGTCAAGATTTTCTCTCTGTGCCCGGTGATCATCCCATCACAGACGACAAAGAGCAGTTTGCGTGCATCCAAATAGTCGGCTGCCGAGATACTGTCGAGGGTCTTCTTGATCCCTTCGGCTCCTTCCGAATAACAGGTGACCAGACAGACACAAAATAGTTCGGCACCAATGGCGGCCATGTTGATCAATCCTTGTGAATCTAATGCTGCCAGCTGGTTTAAAGCCCAGCTCGCCGGGAGGAACCCCTCCCGACGAGGTGGTACACAGACCAGCTCGTCGGAAGGGATTCCTTCCGACGAGCTGGTTTAAAAGCTGGCTCGCCGGGAGGAACCCCTCCCGACGAGGTGGTACACAGCCCAGTTCGTCGGAAGGAATCCCTTCCGACGAGCTGGTTTGAAAACCGGCTCGCCGGGAGGAACCCTCCCGGCCTCAAGACTCCATGTCCATTCGCGGGCTGGGAGGGGTTTCTCCCAGCCCTAAAGATATTTTTTTTTTTCAACGGCGCTATCCCATAGGACCCAGGCCTGGGTCCTATGGGATAGCCCAGTATGTATATAAAAGTACACGTCCAAACTCCCACACTCCCCTTCTGAGGGGAGTGTGGGCCCACACTCCAATCAAAATTGGAGTGCAGGTCTGCACTCCAACCTGCTGGGGGACTGCCCCTGCAGATTGTTGGAGTGTGGACCCGCACTCCAATTTCGATTGGAGTGCGGTCCCACACTCCCTTCAGAGAAGGGAGTGTTGGAGTGTGTGTGCAAAGGGGGGTGGAGTGTGGTTATCACTCCCCAAAGGATTCCTCTCCTCATCCTTCCACAAACCTCTCTCTCTGGCCCAGGTATGTTTCCATCTGTTTCTCTTCTTTCTTCTTTCTTTCTGATGCTTTGTGTCTCTCTCTTCATTTCATGAAATGAACTTATCCTTCCACAAACCTCTCTCTCTGGCCCAGTTTTGTCCAACACTTGGGTATGGGAGGCCGGTATATCGGAGTCCCTTCTCCGTGGAGTTATCGTCCGTTTTTGGCCTCTTTTCTGTGTGGTATGCGAGGGCAGCGTCTTGCCACGCTTTATTGAATATCGTTAACGGGAGAGGTCCCTTCAATTCGAGAATGTTCTTATCAAAGAACGGGGATTCGAGAATGTTCTTATCAAAGAACGGGGTGAATCCTACGTCGTCGTGGGAGTTGGTGTCTCCCCAGTTGAAATTTGTTCCTCCGGCCACGGTTTTCTTCTTGCCGATCCTTGCTTTGGCTTGGCGGCGCTGATCTTCTTGTTCTTGCAATGTTGGTGGTGTCTCTTTACCTGTTACCAGTTTGGTGTATATGTTGTAGAACATATCCACTCTCTTCTTGTCGCCTTCCGCGGCTGCCTTGAGGGCGTTCTTGAGTATGATGGCCATCTGCTTGTCTTTCTCCGCTTCTCGATCTCTCTCTTCTTCGCGCCTTATGGTTGCGTTTGTTGCGATGTATCTCTCGACATGTGTTTTATCTACATCGACTGTGCAATCCAAGTCAGATCAGGCTGTTCTTTCCTCTTTGTTACGTTTGGTGATTCAACTCACTTATTTTTGCCCCTAAAATCGTTGCAAGGTCTTTCGCTTGCTTTGCAGGCTGACAATGCTTCTCGGCGCTTGTTGCTACCTCGTCGAGGGACAACGGGTGTTTGGTGGTTGCTTTTGGCGGGTTTGCTGGTTTTGATGTCGCTGGGTGCCTTGTGCTACCTGTCGGTGCTTTTGCCGTGGACGGATTCTTGGGTTTGGTGTTTGGATCAAAGCGGGTGGATTGGGTTGGATCAGAGTTAAGGGATTGGGGTTTGGGTTTGCTGCGGTTGAATTTTCCGCGTTTTCCCTTGCGAGATTAGCATTGTTTCCCTTCATCTGCTCTGCAGTGGCTTGGAAGTTGTTGTTGGGGTTTGTAGACATTCTAATAACTCGGCAGGTTTATCGGGCGGTAGTCAAGGGTAGGATGCTAAACTTTTTAAGGGAAACTAAGAGAAAATTGAGGATGATTCTTTAGTGTTAACGGAAAGGATTGTACTCAAGTGAAAATGAGAACTGGTGGAGAGCGAGAACGGTAGCGGGAGATTCCTGGAGGGAAGCAGGCGCTGAGGGGAACGAGTCGAGCCTAGTTCTTCAGGTCCTATGGATGAGATAGCCACGTAGCCAGTCTACCTGGATCTGGTCTTTGGCAAGACCAGCCAAGGGGGCGCGGCAGCACCTTGTGGGTAACCTGGCCACGTGGCCTATATTATGAATGACGGCGGCGCCGTGGACGACACCCTCCTACGTTGTTCTTTGGAAAGCTACCATCCAGAGTTACTGTAATATATTCATGAATATTCTAGCTTGTTTATATTTTTATTACACGTGTGGGGGCTTTGTTGACACGTGCACAGTGAGTTTCTGGGGCTTTGTGGCCCATTCCTTGGATACTGGTAACCCAGAGGGGGTTATGCATGTATCCAAGGCGGGTAGGCATACCTAGCACGCGCGGGGGCTTGAGCCTTGGGCTCAATTGTAGTCAGGCGCGCCTGTCAGCAGTGTGCAGCATGACTACGCGGCGCGCAGGCTTGGAGAATACACGCCACTCAACTCCAACTTCTAAACTATACACAACACTCCAAATCTGGGACAAGATTTGGAGTATATGATTATTGTTATGTGTAATGCATAATTATTCAGGTGTCCGTGATCCATGGGTACCTGTTAATTCTTCAAGTGAGTATTACTGGGTGAAGGAGTTACAATTAGGGGTACCTTTGGCTGAGGTACCCTAGGTTAAATTGTATGGAGATTCAGAATCTGCAATAATAATCATAGATTTCTGTATTATTCCTAAGTTAATTATATTTTTTATGTGTTTTTATATTATTTATATAAGTAATAGTGTTTATTTTACTTATGTAATATTTTTACTTTATACTTAGATTTTTTATGTAATTTATTATTTTATTTGCTTATGACAGGTTGTCTCTGCCATAGTAGCAAGCTGACATGGTTTCTGAGGCTTGCTACACGTGTTACCAATTGGAATATAGGATATTCTGAGTTACTGTAGTATTTTCATGAATATTCTAGCTTGTTTATACTGCGGGCTTTGTTGGCACGTGCACAGTGGGTTTCTGGGGCTTTGTGGCCCATTTCTTGGATACTGGTAGTCCAGGCGGGGTTATGCATGTATCCAGGGCAGGCATGCATACTTGAGACGCGTGGGCGCTTGAGCATTAGGCTCAATTCTAGTCAGGTGCACCTGTCAACAGTGCGCAGCATGACTACGCGACGCGCGGGCTTGGAGACAGTACACGCCACACTGCTCTATCTTAAGCTATACACAACACTACAAATCCGTGACAAGATTTGGATTATATGCATATTTTAATACATAATGCATAATTATTTCAGTTCCCGTGATTTAAGGGTAGCTGATAATTATTCAAGTGTGAATTACAGGATGAAGGAGTGGGAATTAGGGGTACCTTTGGCTGAGGTACCCTAGGTTAAATTGTATGTAGATTCAGAATCTGCAATAATAAATAAAGATTTCATTATTTTTTTCTAAGTTATTTATTTATTTTATGTGTTTTTTATATTATTTACATAAGTAATAGTGTTTCTTTTACATAAGTAATAGTGTTTCTTTTACATATGTAATATTTTTAATTTATGCTTAGATTTTTATATAATTTATTATTTTTATTTGCTACTACAGGTTGTCTTTTCCATAGTAGCAAGCTGAAATTTGGACAATGACTGCCCTGCTCAAGAATCAACTGGACCAATCCATGGCATCACCTGTGAACACCCTCCAGACAATTTGTCCTGGAGCCTACCCATGGACATTGAGTGTAACCAAGAAGTCCACTGTGATTGGGGACCACATGAAAGATGCAAAATTAATCCCAAAGGCCGTTTTAAAACCTGTGAATGTGGTGACATTTCTCAAAATCATCATTTCATCATTCCCTACTGTGATTCTGATCATATAATTAGTGAACATTGTGATGGCACTAGTGCCACTGGCCATGAATTCCAAATGATCAATTGACGGCACAGAATATTGCCACTTACATGATAACATCCAGACAGGTCAAGATTAATGACCTCTTCAAAAAATGGTGCCCCAACAATTGTTTTACATATCTAAAATTTTGGTCTTGATTACACACAGAAAAATGAATGATTATTCACAAAAATTAAATTAAATGAATCCTAAAAAAAATAATACAAATCAAAGAAGATTGGAATTCTGAACAATCCAAAAGGAAACTACTAGAAACATAAGATAGGGGGTTGGATTCGGAAAAACAACTCCCAAATATTTGCCAAAAACTCCCATTTTGGTAAAGGGGCCACTGGCAGGAATTGTTCTTCCAATCCCCCCTGCACAATTTGGAGTTGTTCTTCCAATCCCCCCTGAGAAATAAGACAGGTACCAGTGGTGCTTAAGGCAAGTAGCTGTGGTACTTCAGGATGGTAAAAGTGGTACTTTATGGTAATCATGCTCAAATTTTTAGCTTTCAGGCAAGCCACTCTGTGAGACAGAAACCCTTGCCCTCCAAGCTATCTATAGAGATGGCTTCAGGTACCCGTTGTTGGGTATTTGCTACCTGTTGGCGGGTACCTGCCAGTGTATGACAGGTACCCGCTGGCAGGTTTCCAAATTCAGTGGAATTTCAGGCAGGTACCCACACCCACCCCAGGTACTTGGGTGCAAAGTGCCATCTCTAGCTATCTACAAGGGGTTTTTTCAGGCTTGCGGTAAACTAGAGTTTTCTAAATTCCACAACAACTTACAACTGAATCTCTTCCCCTCTACCAACTCATTCAAAAAATTTGGTCTGTACCATTTCTTTGGTTTCATTCCATCAATCAATCAATGAGCATTTTCTCAGCACATAGCTGAAAGGTATTATCTGTGTGTTACTCATACTTAGTCAATTTTGAAGTTGTGTTCTGAATTCTTTGCTATACTTCACGTGTGTTATTTCTATGTGACAAGATTTGAAGTTGGATCAAGCAAAATGTGTAGAGGCAAGAAGTTGGTGTGTATTTAAAGAAAGCAAAATCACAATATCCACAAGGTTTTGCACAAGTTTACAATAATCATGCAACTACAGGTTCAAGCCCTCATGTTTAAAATTTTAGTTGTGATTGATGATGACTACAAGGGCTGGGAACAGACAGATTTTATTGAGCAGAAAGAGCTGAAGATCACCAATGACAGATAACAACAGGAAAGGGGATTCCAAGAAGGCCAAACTGGTTGTATCTGGAGATATCATGTTGCTCATCTGATCATGATCATCTCATTTGTTCAAATCTCCGGTTGGATGGCAAACTGAATCATTCACCAAATGTTCACAATTTTTACAGGACAATGCTTTTTTGATTACAATATTACCGTACCAAATGGATGAGTTGAACTAGTGATTATTTCAATATTGTAGATAGGAGACATACAAAGAAAAATTATGGAAACTTACAGTCGCATGAGATTGATAAAAGAGGATATTAAATATATGGGAAAATAAAGATCAAGAGCTAAGGAGATGGCACATCAATGATCTCGTAATAATCAATTTAATGTAGAAAAGACAAGGAGAGAGGACAGACAAGCCATTAATTGAGACGACGAGCAGTAGAGCGCAGAAAAAAGTCTGTCACATAATCAAGTCCTTGTTTACGTTTTCCATGTCGTGATACAAGATCTGTGCGAATATCAATGAGCTGCTTCAAGGCCTCCTTCAATCCCGGGCTAAGAAAATGAAACGAATCAAGTCCATAGAATACTAAAGACGCCTGCCGATAATCTGGTGGTCCATTAGAGGGTAATTTGTAATTGTCTTGTCTTTTGTAATTTTCCTTCTTCTTTGGGGGAGTGTTTTGCAAGGTAAAGTATAGGGAGAGGTAGGGGTTTGTTTTTTCTTTGATTTCAATCTTGGCTTTTTCGGGATTCATCTTACCCTGGGAATTCTTCAATTCAGAGTCATACTTGCGGTTTTTGACCTGTATGCCACAAAATGTGACATTTGCCTCATCCAACTCATCTTCAAATTGGTCTTTCAGGTAGATTGTCAAGACTTGGTCAAACGCTTCTTGGTTTGACCGACATTGTAAGGCCAATCCTCTGTGCAGGCATTCAAGCATCGATTCAGTCGTCGGCCTCTCCGAGAAATGCATGAAATGATTCCAGAACATCATTCCATGCTCGAGCAATTTACGCTTGTGATTGGCATCAATTGAGCCAAGAGGTAGCTCGTGTGCCGATATTCCAGTAAGAGTCTCCAAGAATTTGATCACTGGAACTGGATCGGGAAATGATATGTGTTTCACGCCTATAAGATCGGCCGAGGTTTCCTTTGCAGTCTTCATATCAGCTGCAGTTTTGTTCATGGCGCAAAGTAGGATGATTCTGCTTGCAATTTCACCAGCATCTCCCGGACCAACATCACCTTGAGATAAGACGGCGGTTAGAGAATTGATACATGATATCAGTACATCCTCATTTGTCTGAAGATAGTAGTTAGCAGCTAATGCATATATTGGCTGCGATGGATAGAAGGCATATTGAGAATCGCGGTTTGCATCAATGTAGCCGCAATGTGCCGCATGAGACGCCATCAGCTGAGAATTTAGACGTGCCTGGCCATGTAGAGGAACACCAATTGTTGGACCGAGTAAGGCAAGTGCCCGAGATTCAGTTATTTTGATGGGGCCCTCCTTGAAGGAGCAAAGAAGTTTATTCAAAGCAAATCGAGCCATTTTATCAACAGCTACAGAGAGGTTTGCCCTCATCTTTGTTTTCAGGTATGAACCAAAGAAAGGAACCCCATAACTACAAAGCCGCTCAGGCAAGAACAATTCTGCCCAGCTTCTCGGTGGGTCGGCAGGGACCATCCGGTCCATGGTGCGTAATTCATAGATAGGGGGGTACAGCTTGAACGGTTCAGCGCGGGTGCCTATAGATCGGCAGCTGGGGTCATCTTCAGTTCTTGGGCTGAAATTGGCCACACAGGAATTTGTGTCAACCAAGATAGCAAAGAAACCAGAGCTGTCTGGCACATTTCTCAAGGCGCGGCGGAAAAAGCGGAACAGTGGCGGCTCTTCACTTTGGTTTTCAGAAGATACCGTTCGATTTTTTGGTTTGTCAAGCAACGTGTTAGCCTCGTCAATTGCCAGTAATACCTTCAATGGAGAGCTTTTCAGGATGTGGGTCTTCCCAAGTTTTTCAGCTGCAAGGATAAGCTGGTGGACCGCATCGTTCTTGCCGGTCAATCTTTTTAATTCCGATTGGACGTTTGAGTAGAATTTTGTGTTGGGTGAATTGTGGTGCTGGTACCATGCTCGAAATAATTCTTTGCGATCCTTTCTTTTTGAGGCAGACTGAAAAAATTTGATAGTGACAGATAGGATTGCAGTGATAAGTTGGACATAGTAAACTTCGAGATCTGCGCCGAGGGGTGTCTCGAGCATTTCGGTTGCAAGCTGGGATCGTTTTGGTTCTCCACTGGAATTTGGGAGACGTAGGCAAATGTAGACTACACAAATTTCATCTGCCAGTTCCATCAGCAAGCGTGTTTTGCCAATCATCGTTGGCCCAATGAGAGATGTGTAGGGCGCATGATATTCCTCTGGTCGCCATGATGATGCGTTTTCGTTCAGGGTGCTGAGGATCGGGGTGACAATTTCATCGCGTCCGACATAATCTGAGAGATAGCCCTTTCGAACAACATCGACGGCCACGGTGCTAGGCTCAGTCGCGCGTTCCAAAATGGAGCGGCCCTGGTCTAAAGAAACACTGAAAATCGAAGCTCTCGCTTCCCAATCGATTTGTTCGTTTTCATAGTAATCTGGGTAACGTCTGAGGAAAGCGAGCTCGACGAATTTATCTTCTATAGACTTGTTTTCTTTAGCGCCAAAGGCCGAACTTATTTTGTCCCATGCCAGGATGATCACCCCAGTGGCAACCTTCAAAGTCAGTGCTCCCAATTCCAGATTTCCGGGCGCTACCCTGAAATGTTTGAAAAGCTCCTCCAGGATCTCCAAGTATCTTTCAACAAGACGAGCTTTGCAATGCACGAGGTTTCAGCACAACATCAGCATCCTGTTGAAAAAAATGGATACAGGAAGAGGATAATGTGTTATAACATACGTGGAACACTCTGAGAAAATTTTCGGAAATGTTTGTCTTCGCTTTCAACGTTTAAACGTTTAAATCTCTCCTCCAGGGATGTTACTTTCGAGCGCAGGTGATAGGGGGGAGGAAGTCGTCGGGGTGCCATTGTTGTTTAAAAATTATTGAATCTCGATTATGAGTGATCATGACTATTTATATCGGATGGGTCGTAAGGGTGATTATCAATCGATGGTACAACAATGGTGTAGGGGAAATTCACACCAACAGCCATGCAGTTGAACCCGAGCAATAGATGTGCAGTCGTTGAGACCAGCGGCCGATTGGTGGCAGGCATGGTAAAAGACTTCTTTGTCAACTTAAGCACCTGAGCTAGGTTTCAAAGGAAGTTGCTCAAGTCCAACCCGCTGCCGGTCAACGTTTTCATGGACCGAGCGAAACCGTGCGGGCAACGTTTCTTGAAAGGAGAGACCTCAGCAGTTATGGTAATGCCTCTCTCCGGCGAAAAGCTCTTGATCTGGGAACGCACGATACATAACTTGCCTTAACCAAGAACATAAGAATCCAATGATTTCAGGTAATTTTAGCCGAGCAAGACAAGCTAGTGAGTCCAATGGCTGCTTCTTTATTGTTCTCCGGTTTTACACAAAGGCCACCGCTCATGATGGAGTTGGTTTTCACAGGATCAGGGGACAGCAATGATCGTTGGGTCGTTATCCGTCGAATGGTCATCCACAGTCTCTTATGAATGCGTGCGCATGTGAACGTTCGGGATCCGCGGATCGCATACAGATCAGACAGTCGATTCATCCGACTCACACCAATATGTAGTTTAAAGGTAAATTGCTCAAAATTGAGAGAAGAAAGAAAGAAAAAAAGGATGATTTATGTCAAACCCAAACATTGGGGAAGTAGGAAGAAAAAGGAAAATGATGGGGGTTAATACATTCAAATCATACAAAAAATAGGCAAACCAAAAAAGAAGTAAAAAACAAGGGAGAGAGAGAGAAAAGGCAAAGCTCCATTGGGATGGTCCTGCAGTGAACATAGATTATGTTTTTTTTTTTTTTGGTTTGTTTGGTTAATTGATGTTTTGATGTTGTACTACTAGAACATGATATTGGTTGGACTTGTGTTTTCTTTTTCTGTTGGTTTGAGATCCAGATATACATAAATATAGAACATATATATACATACATGTGATTGAAGATGTATATATATATATAAAGCTCCCATTTTTCATTTTTCGTTGAGAAGGTCTTGTAGTTAGAAGGATTGCTGAAGATCTTGAGCGCGTACACGGATGCATGTCTCAGAGGGCATGTCCCAATTAACTGTAGTTTCCAAGTCCCTAAAATAAGCTTGACCGGTCCCAAATAACTCATTATCTTTTTGAATCATGAGGCCGAAAAAGCTAAATGATGGAGGCGGGGGAAGATAAGCATCGAGATGAGAGGAGAGGGCGTCTCGAGTCGGTAAGAGCAAAAAGGTAGGGGTACTCACGCTTGTTGGTATATCGGTTCTTGACGCCTCAGGTGTTCTAATTGTCCATCAATGATCGACCATTGCGAGATACGCTTATTCTTCGGAGACGGACCGGCATAGAATCGGATGGCCTCGAGACGCTAAAGGGATACGCAAAGACAGCAGACCTCCTCCCTGAATCAGTTCATTGTTTTTTATTTCGCAGAGGAATCGATCGTGAGTTTTTTGGGTAGGACTTACCAGATATGCAAACCTCATCCGTTGTGATTCATCTACTTTGCTTAAGATCTCACTCGGCACTGGAAGATGTCCAGGTGAAGATGCGGCTGTCAACAACTTTATGAGAAAACGAGGTGGCAGTTGTTTATGTTAGTGTGGTTTGTTTTCGATCGGTGGTTAAACTGTTTTGCTCACTTGGACTATCAATTCATCAAGAGTTGGGATTGGCTTCTTCGAATAATCCCCATCTTCTGGCAAAATGTTTTTCAACAACTGCCAACAAGAATTGACAAAAAATCAGTTTTTTTTTGCGTGTATATGATTTGGAATTACTGAAGAAAGAGAGAGAGAGAAAGGGACAGACTTGTTTCCTGAAACTATCACGATTATGTTTAATAATTTCGCGAATAAAGTTGAATAACTTATTGGCCGGTTCAGGCGAAGTAGTAGAAGGAAATCCAGGCGGTAAGTTAGCCATTCTGAAGGCATCAGATTGGTCGGTGAAGTGTTTGATGACCAAGTTCTGGAATGATTTTTGAAGGACCCTATCTTCCGAATCTTTGGTGGCTGTATAGGCCTCTAGATCGGGTCTAATGATGATCAATTGGGCAGTAAATCGAGTGTGTTCCTACAATTCGACATGATTAGTTTTGCTGGCCTGTGTCACCATGAGGGAGGGGAAAGTATTGTTTTTTTTTTCTTCTTGGAAACACTTACTCGAAGCCTTGGAGTGGGTACCCAACCCGAAGCGGCTGAGAGAGAAGGCGGGATTTGAAACTGGGGAGCAGATTGAGGGGGAGGGTTGGTTGGGTTTTGGTGTAACCAGGTCAGGTAGCAGACCAGGGCGTAGAACCGATTGTCGTCCCCAGTGGTCTGACAGACTCTCCGTGCTTGCTGCCAGGAAGGGCCATTGAGTTGGTAGTGGCTGGCATGTTCGTTAAAGAGAGACTCCTGAGCGGGACTGAATCCGGATGGAGCGGGTTCGACTGGATCAACGACAATCGATCGATTGGCATCATCCATCAACTCGTTGAGCTGAGGGAGTTCAGGATGCACTGCCAGAGCATGTTGTTGATGTTGATGAGGGTGTTGCTGTTGCTGCTGTTGTTGTTGTTCTTGATTGGGGTGATGGTGGTGGTGGTGGTTGCTGGTAGTGGTGGTGGTGCTGTTGACCGCCGAGTCCTGTTGGAGGAAGAATGGATCCAGGTTGGACTGGATCATGGCTGCTGTTGACTGCTCAGTCTCTGCTCGGTCGAGATTGGGTACGAGGACTGGTCGATGGGGAAGCGGTGGGGTTGGGGGAGAGGGAGAGGGGGAGCTGGGGGGGAGCGAGTGCGACCCGAGTCGGGCTGAAGGACGGTGGGGAGACCGGTGGGACACTGACGGGCTCGGCAAGCAGCTACCTTCAGACCGAGCCGAGACCCCGGGGGGAGGGAGATCGAACCTGACGACAACCATTTGCAACTCCAATCATCAGAACCAACACAGCAATCGAGACACTGCCACTCACATCACATTTCAAGCCACACACTGTAATATTTCTGGTTTCGTCTCATCAGATCATCTCCTCGGTTCTCTCCTTGTGAAGGGTAATCATTACTTTTACAGCACGACAAATAAGACTCTTGAGAGTTCCCAGGTAAATATGATGTGATGGTGAGCCATGGTGTCCTTGTTGACCACATCGGTGTCTGGTCAAACTTCTTATCGCAGAATGGAGAAGAAAGGACGCCTAAATACCAATATGCTGGCAAACCTTCCCAAGCCTGGTCTGCGGGCTGGCAAAGATTGCAAGAGTGAAGTCTTTTCAACCCATTGTTGTAGACTCGGGCTACAATATCTTGAACCAGAGAGTGGGTCAGGCTCCTGTTCCAAAGCGAACTTGACACAAGTCTCTGGCTGCGGGGGGCGCATCTGGCAGCGTAGCGCTGGCCAGGCGGTTCCCGAAGGGAACTCCCCGCAGGGGAGACTTGGGCCAGAGGTCGACCAACTCAGGTGCTGAGTTTGGATTGTTTTGGTGGGAGCGTCACAAGATTTGAAATCCTGACGCTCCCTCAAAACTTTTTTGATGTTTGGTCTCGGATTATTAAAAACCTGCCTGATCTTATTGATCAGGCAAAATTTCAAAGTTTTAGAATCACAAAAACAATTAATAATGATTTTATCAAATCAGCATTTGAGCTTTCTTTTACGCTGACATAAGCGGTTTGATGAACTCGCACACGCCAAAAAAGCTCGACTTCAGTTGAAAAGTTGTCATTTTCAAAAATAACTACATCAAAACTCACAACATGACACCAGAATGTGAGCAGAGGGAAGAATGTACAAGAAGCAGACCCTCCTTGGGCCACAAGTAAACTAGATAACAGTGGAAGAAGAAGAGCATAGGCAGAAAAATGCACAGAAAACTGGGTTTCAAGCCTAATTTTGAAAACTCAGCACGCGGGGATTGCCGCATCTGTCTTAGGCCTCCACTGGCGTGGACAGCTCCGCTGCTCGCTCCCGCTCCCGCCATGGAGGCCTAGTTAGGCTCGGTTCCAAAGCCTTTTTTTGATCAAGGTGGAAAGGAAACCAGCCAGCACACTGTTGGTCTTTCTCCATCTGAATTGATTTCCAACACTACTTCAGGTGATTGATTCCATTCTTGCTGGCTTCTTATTGTTAGGCAGATGGGTTGTCTTCCCTACGCAAAATCAAATTCAGTTTTCTCCCCAATGATAACACCACCCCCCCTTCTCCTTCTCCAACAGGACCCAGGAAACCACCTATAAATGTCAGTAACGGAAGTTCCTGGATTGTTGTTACATTTGATTCACACTGGCATTTTGAGGGTCATTCATGGTGTATGCTTGAGGAAAAATCCCCCTGCAAAATTAGGGACTAAACATTTTGACGGTTTCACTCAACATTGATCAGCCAAACAAATTCATACCACTTTTGTATGTATGATTTTTTTTGAAAAGAAAAATCATACATTTGTGTTACTGACATACCTTGGGGGTTTCCTGGGTCCTCTTCCAGCTGCCTCTCTTACCATCAAGGCTAAAATTGTTTTCTTGATTATAAATCTATGATGAAACTGGCACTAATGTTTTTATGATTTTCAAATCTTTTTTGATTGATATTTATTTGAGGCCCCAAAATGTTCATGTTATACAAAATATAGATGCAAGTTTCAAATATGGAAGTTGAAGGAAAATAAACTCCTGATCAATAAAATTATGCATCATGTAAAAACCACAGGTGTGGGTTTGTGTACGGCCATTTTGCAGGTTTATCACAATGCATGTGTATTGTACAACTATATAAAATGAACCATTGACACCTGTGAAAGCTCAAAAATAGAAATGAACATCAAGGTATGTTGGTCTCTGGATGGAAGGCTAATGTGTCCATGTTAGATTTTGGGGGGAGGCAAGTGTTGGCTTATACCATACACTGCTAAAAAGTCTCATTTATGGTGTTCAAACTTAAAGCAACATTTCATTGTTGACATAGCCTGTGATTGAGACCAAGACTAATTTGGGTTTCAAGTAAGTTGACAGCTGGTCCCTGAAAAAACGAGGGTCGGAAAAACGACTCCCAAAAATTGTCTGATGACTCCCATTTTGGTTGAGGGGTCGTTGGGTGGGAGTCGTTCCTCCAAATCAATGGCCGACTTTGGGAGTTGGCCATCCAATTGTTTTTTAATTCTTTGATTTTTAGGGAGTCGGCGCCCCAAACCACCCCTCATGCTTGAGGGGGTTTGGGAGTCGTTTGCTCCCATGACCGGAAAGATTTCCTTCCGGTCTTTGAGAAAGAAAAACCTCATCGGCCAGAAGGGATTCCTTACGGTCAATGAGGTATAACAAACTCATCGGCCAGAGGGGATTCCTTCTGGTCAATGAGGTATAACAACCTCATTGGCCAGAAGGGATTCCTTCCGGTCAATGAGGTATAAAAACCTCATCGGCCAGAAGGGATTCCTTCCGGTCAATGAGGTATAACAACCTCATCGGCCGGAAGGATCCATCGGCCGGAAGGGATCCTTCCGGGCAATGAACACATAAAATCCTCATTGACGGAAGGGATTCCTTCCGGTCGATGAGGTATAACATCCTCATCAGCTGATTGGAAGGAATTCCTTCCAATTGATGAGGTTGTTATAAACCTCATTGATTGGAAGTCAATGAGGGTAACAACCTCATCAATTGGAAGGCATTCCTTCCAATCAGCGAGGGAGTTTTGTATCTCTATGAGTGGGAGAGATGCCTTCTACTTGAGGCGCTTGTTATACCTCATTGACGGGAAGGAATCCCTTCTGGCCGATGCGCATGTTTGGGCAAATTTAATTTGGAAGGATTCCTTCTCTCCATCGGGGTTAATATTGCGCTTTTCTCTTTGGACAACCGTCCCCCCTTGAGTTTTATCCCTCTTAAAGTTGTATAGACACTCGTGCCGGCAAAGTATACAACCCCGTCTTATCCCACATTAAGGATGGACGCGCGCGTTACTTCGCCGACCCTCTTTTGATAAAAGTAGGATGAAAATCGATTTTTGATTCCCATAACAACCCTCCTGAATTGGACTAGAAAGCCCATCCAAACGACCCTTTCAGAGATACCAAGAACCGACGATAAAA